ACAGCGCGCAGGCCACGACCACTGGGAATATTTCGTGTAGGGCAGAGGAGATGCTCCGGTGGAAAGTAGCGGGCCACGGCCAGGCAAACCAATGGTCCTGGAAGAACCCCCAAAACCCACGGAAGGGGCAGCGTCCGTGTAGAAGCGGAGACCTGTAGGGGCAGAGACATGTCGGAGAGGGCCATTGATGTTTGCAGGCGCCCTTACGCTTAGAATCTTGGGTTGGAGAGTAGATAATCAGGATAGTAGGATGGTCGGGAAAGCCGTGTCTCGGACCGCATGAAGGTTGAGTGAGCAATGGTGAAACGCTTATGCAGAGAAGCCATAGAAGGCGAGCAGGAAGATGCTGCGAGGAGGGCAGACATGTACTTGGAAGATGAGCCGGAGTTCAGTGCCGCTGCAGGATGGGCAGCATGATGGGGAGCCTGCGATCAGAAGAGTGAAGAATACAGGTATGGATGCCTTTGATTAGGAGTCCGATTGACGGCTCAGCGCAGCAACTCGGCCAGCTGCATCTGATAGAATCAGAAGATTAAGTAGAGAGATGAAGCATGGCCGCCGAAGCGACCCTGGGAGCATAGGTGCGAGTCCAGCGCAGCGCGGCATACTCAGCCGGGCTGCGTCCATTAGAAGCAGGATAAGCTTCTGAGAGAGTGGCTAGCAGCAGCTGCAGCATCTGTAGATAATAACAGCAATAATCCTGTATCAAAGCCACAGCAGTAGAATGTTGTTGTAGCTGTTCAGTGTTTCAGTAAAAGAGATGCAAGTGAAGAGAGATGTCAAAGTAAATGAAGCAGCAGCAGCAGCAGTAGCAGTAGCAGCAGTAGTAGTATGAAGCAGCAGCAGTAGCAGTATGAAGCAGCAGCAGTAGCAGTATGAAGCAGCAGCAGTAGCAGTATGAAGCAGCAGCAGCAGCAGTAGCAGCAGCAGCAGTTGCAGCATCCGTAGATAATAACAGCAATAATCCTGTATCAAAGCCACAGCAGTAGAATATTGTTGTAGCTGTTTAGTGTTTCAGTAGAAGGATGCGAAGTGAAGAGAGGTGTCAAAGTAAAAGAAGCAGCAGCAGCACGGCAGCAGTAGCAGTATGAAGCAGTAGCGGCAGCAGTAGCAGCAGTAGCGGCAGCAATAGCAGCATTAGCGGCAGCAGTAGCAGCAGTAGCGGTAGCAGTATGACGCAGCAGAAGCAGCATTAGCAGGAGCAGCAGCACCACAATGCGATTCATACGAACAACAGACGTGTCACGCCAGCGTGCGCCGCTTGTCTCCGTGAGCCAGGTTACATACGTGTCTGAAAGAGCCAAGCCGTAGAGACAGGTGCAGCCTGGGAGCCCGCGGAGCGGCAGCGGCAGGAACAGCAGCAGCGGCATATGTAGTAGTAGGAGCAGCAGGAGCAGGCAGCAGGAACAGGCATCAGCGGGATCAGGCATCAGTAGGAACGGCAGCAGGGACCGCAGCAGCCGCGGTCAGAGAACCATGCCCATGGTTGTTTAAGAGCCTGAGGAAATAATCAACCCGAATCCGAAACATTCCCATGCGAATAACAGATGTCCCCTGGAGCCATCTTGCTGCTTTGGTTATGGCAGATACGCATGAACCATCACTTTTCCACGCGTTCATTAGCTCCAACTCCACTTCAAACCCATTGCAGATTCACATTGGGCCCTTTTTCTTTCTGCTGCACTTTCAAAATGCAACAACTGCAGTTTAGTTACCCAATTTAATACTAGTGACCTAGCTATTTAAATGCATGGCCCCTCCTTCCTCCTGCAGATAGACGAATTTAATACGATCATTTACCATAGTGACCTGCGAGTAATGAGATTAATGCTGTAAAGATGGCGCCGTGGCAAGAGTTCTGGTGTGTGCCGTCTGGAGGACGATGGGTAGTCTTTGCACATTTTTTCCAACGTGGTTTTACTGCAAGTGGCAGAACATGAATCTGAATTAATGCACATTGCTCCTCTTATATCCCTCAGACGATAGAGATTGATGCCATTTAATATGCATTGCCCCTCAGTTAGCTCAGACACGTGTGAAAACGGAGCCTGCAGACCAAGCACGGGGCGAAACTGACGCCTGCAGTCAAGTGCGTAGGGGCAAAAACCAGCCGCCTGCAGCCTAGACTCCGGGATTAATCCGTCCGCGGTCGGCACACTCACTGTACTCACATGCCAGGAGACTTGGGAAAAGCAACGGGACAACGCGGCACCGCCAATCGGAGGCAGGGACACGCACGGCACCGCCAGACCGTCTGCGCGCGGCAGCAGCAGACCACGAGGAACGAGCCGCACAAAACCCGCGGAGGGGCCCCGCGGAGCAGCCCGCAGAAGAGCCCGCAGAGGAGGAGAGCAGTGGAGACACGCGAACCACAGCAGGTGCAGGGATGCGGAGGAGCAGACCACGAGCAGCCAGACTGAGGACAGCCGGGCCACGCGCACGAGCAACACGTGAGCAGAAGCGACCCCTCCAGAACAACGCATGCATTTGCGAACAGGTGCGTTAGCGACATGCACCTTGCAGGCTTCAGAAGTTTGCAAACTTCAGAAGGCCGGGAAGTGGGCGTCTCCGGCTTTTAACTTGCTGTCCTGGTGGTTATTGGTGGATTAGATGTGGGCGTTTTGCTGGTGTAATGAGTAGAGGATGAGCAGGCTTGTAGATCTGGCAGCAGTGGCCGGGTCTACCACAGTGAACTTTCGCGAAGAGCTTCATATTTAGCATCGTGAGGCTGGAGTGTTAGCTTGTCAGCCTAGCTTTGTATTTCCCATGATGGTCAAGCTAAAGGCTAAACTGTATTTGCTGGCCTTTAATTAAACCATTGTTATATAAATAATGACCAAATAGGGTAATTACTCATAATAATAATCAGTGGCGGCTGGTGGAATTTTCTACTGGGGGGGCTATGAATATGATGACTAGATATATACCAGCAGGGTAGGGATGCTTTCTGATCCCTACCCTGTAGCTTTCATCCAGCTGGGATGAAATATTTATCTTCCCAAACATAGCTAATTTGAGGGCATTTTGCATGTGGATACCAGTCTGCTCATGCTTCTTTGCCTTTTCTAAAAAGTGCTTCAGATCAGTCATACCTGTCTTGATCCATGCTGGGTCAGATCCTGATGTTTGAAACAAGAGGCATGGAAAGCAAAATAAAGCATTAGCCTCGCTACATGCTGCTAGCCAAGATTTGGCGCTGAACCAGGTCCTGGAAAAAGTACGAGTGTACCGTCCCCCCCTGTCGCTGGACTGCTGACTAATGGTAATATTTGGCTGATCAGGTCCAAGCTCTTTAACCTCAACCTTCTCCTGGTATGATCTTCTCTCAAACGGTATTGTTTTGAGTGATCTAACTGAATTATTCTTTTTCTCGTTCTCCATTTTGCGTCTCTTTACGTTCGTCTCAAACTCCCACAGCTTGACCTGTCAATCACTGTAAACGGACGTCACAGACAGTGACAGTACAGGTCGCGGGCGATCCCGCCCCCTCAGGGCGCACTTCTCCTGCGCCCCCAAATCGTCTTATCTCTTGCATTGAAGAGGAGCTACTGCGCATGTACAACTTTTAACGAGAGTCCATAGACGGCTCAGGGCGCAATCTTTTGCGCCCTGAGGCGGAAATACGTCCTCAGTCCGACACAGACAACGTTGATGAGCTTAATCAATCCAACTCAGCATAAACTATAAAGTATTTCTTCCACATCTGAAATAAAACACACATAAATTTCGAAATATTTTAATGTTATTATTTTTTTTAACGTTTTATTCAAGGTAACATGGCAAGTTGTGAGTGGTGGGCGGCAGTAGGTGGCCACTGATAATAAATTAGAGAATAAATTATATAATAAGAAACGAATGCGTGAACAGTAGTAGGCTGTAGCCATGCATGTTAGCTATGTTACAACATGAAATTAACTGTATGGTGCTTTTTATTTCATTGTTTACAAGCCTGAAATATTATAAATCATTTCGGATATAGGTAATTATGGTGATAGCAGTTCATAAATTCACATTGATTACTGACTCGATCTTCCTGCATCCGATACCTCTGACACCCCTCGCTGTTGCAGAAAGATGCAAAGCGAGTCCTTTGCCTGAGCCATTCCACATTCCTGGCGTATGGTCTGGCGTCTACAGCTTCTTCTTCTGTATCAGTATCTTGTTATTTCATAATAAATTGGTATCATGAAATTACATGATATTTATCTTGATATTTATTGATAAATTGGTATCATGAAATAATAGGATAGTTGTATATCATGAAATAACACATTTATCTTGATATTTCATGATAAATTGGTATCATGAAATGACATGATAGCTGTATATCATGAAATAACATGATATTTATCTTGATATTTCAATATAAATTGGTATCATGAAATAACATGATAGTTGTATATCATGAAATAACATAATATTTATCATGTTATGTCATGATAAATTGGTATCATGAAATAACATGATAGTTGTAAATCATGAAATAACAAGATATTTATCTTGAAATTTCATGATAAATTGGTATCATGAAATTACATGATAGTTGTATATATGAAATAACATGATATTATCTTGTACAAACATGAAATATATCATGAAATAGACATGAAATTAATCATGAAATAACAAGATACCAGCGGAAAAAAGCACACTCACAAGTGAACCAATGTCCATTAATGTTGACCAATGTCTATGTGTTCTATATTTTTTGTGTCTTAACTGTTGATTCTCTGAGCTGTGTTGACGATTTCAATGGTTAGGTTAATTCCTCTGAGATTACTACTGTTGTGATTTAGGGCTATACAAGAATAAATTTAATGGAATTGTATAGAGCAGAGAGAACAGCCCTGGTGCCGGCTAACCTTTTAGGAGGAAAAGGTTTGGCCCCCGGCGTGTTCACTTTGGCCCTCTGAGTGAAATAGTTTGGGCACTTCTGCTTTATCAAGATTTGGCCAAATATTCGCCCTGGTAATATCCTGTCCCTTGTGTTTTGTTTGCAGTTGAGCAGCTTTTTCTTCCTTCCTTAGTGTCCCACTTTCCTATCAGGCTGTACGCTGCTGCATCCCTATGCCCGCGAGAGGAGCCTGGCCGTGCATATGTCTGGGCCTTGATGATCTTGTGGGTAAGGTGTTCAAGACCACAATACGTCCAGACACAATTTTTATGTATATTATTTTAAATTGATTTGACAGGAAACATACAAAAAAACTTATATCACCCACAGGTTACCAGATTTCAAGTACACAGGCTTCTAGCCAAAGGCTAAATTTTGCAGCCCCCTTCCTGGTTAGGCTTTTGGAGAACATGAAGAAACAAATTTAGAAAATAAGAGGGGAGAAAAGAACAACAACACATCAATAAAAATAACTGGCCCTATTTGAACCATACTATATCCAGGTTTATGCTCACACTTCTGTTTTTTCTTAAGCCCACTTTTTCAGTTTTGTGGGAGAAAAGTCCACGTCCGACTGTGACTCAGTGCCAAGAGTTCCACAGATGTGAGGCCTTCACTGAGAATGCAGACTGACCCAGAGTGTTCGGCACCTCTCTCACTCTGCACTCCACGGACGCAGCTCGAGTCTGCACACTCTCACTGATTTGGATATCTTTATACATACTTCAGGGCTAATCCATCAGACACTTAAAAATAGCTTTTTAAAAAGGTCAAAATGTATAAAAAAAACAAAACTCATCTGTTGTATTTTTGAGTAAATTTGCAGAGATGATTGCTTCATTGGCTTTTGATCATATATTTATGAGTGTTCTTTATATACATGACAACAAAGCATCACTACAGATTTTGTGGCCTGACCCCAGACAATGGCATTTTGATTGGTCAAATATTAATCAAACAAATAACGCTAGATAAGATATTACCAGTTTATAAAAATATACAAACAAATTGTTAACACTCTATACAGTTGGTGCTACATGCCAAAACAGCACCCTAACTAAACTTAGCGTTGGCTCCCCACACCCCTATGTTTTTCATTTGCAGTTAAATGTATCTAATTCCACAAAAAGCAAATTATAACTTTAACTGTCAGAACGTAAACTAATAAGAATATGTCCATAGTAACGGGGAGACATAACGTCCAGTGTGAAGAGCAAACAGAGTTCATTTGCTTATGCGCAGACTCAACATGACAGAGCACACAACTCGTCAGAACACCGGATGTGTCATGTGAATTTTCCACAATTGATTTTCTCGTTGAATTTTGACTGTTTGAATTTAACATTATAAAATTGATAATCAGTGAGTGAAATTCACAGAAAAAAATATTCAAGATGTTAAAAACATTCAAATAGATGAATTCAGGTCCATTTAAAATTCAATTTCTGATGGAACAAATAATCCGTCTTTTTTTTTTTTCATCGAACATTTTTTTTGGGAAATATTTTGAAGGTGAATAAGTCATTTTGAAATTTTAATCACATTGAAATTCGTAAACTGAATTTTTTACCTGACTGAATGCAAAGATAAAAATATCTTCAAACATGCTTTTTCAGGTTAAAAATGTCAAAGTGAAAAATTCAAGCTAAAAAAAATCTGATGACACAAAAAATCTTCCATACGGTGCTAAACATTCAAACCTTGCAGAAACGGGTATAGCTCCTTTAACCCTTGTGTGTAGATATAGTGTTATATGTTCTAGTTATGGGAAATTTAAACAGACTACGGACCTATACCTATATGATGGTGCCAATACCTCTTTGTTTGCTTCTCTGCGATGTGGCCGAATTTTCCTCCCATGTAGGCCTGTTCTCCGCCTACTTCCACATGACACTGAGCTTCGTGGGCCAGATGCTGGATGAGCTGTCCATCCTTTGGGTTTCATCGCAGTGGGGTACCCTCTGGTTCCCTCGCAAGCACTTCCCAGCCTTTATCAAAGAACTGGGGGGTAAGAAGTCACCAAATTTCATTAAAACTGGGGTACCTAACTTAATAATGAGCACATTTGAAAAATGTAATTACAGGCTCTAAAACAGTATTGTGTATGTCACTAGTTTTAACATGCATGTATTTTTGGCTTCTGTCACATCTTTAGATCAGCTTTTGTTAGAAAGGACAACCCTAACCCACCGAACCAATCAGCTCTAAGCCCCAAAGATTCCAATACATTACCTATAATGATTTGTATTTTCTTACAATGAATGTCAAAAGAAAACATGTTTTCGTCTTTCTTAAGAGGGCATTCACTCCGCCTGACGCTGGAACGCTGACGCCTCGCTCACCAGTAACACACATTCACTAATTTTTAGACGCAGGGGACCAAGAAATACCTGACCTCCGTTGGCGCCTGCGCCGGAAGGGTGCGTACCGATGTTCCCCGGGTCCGATGTTCCCCGGGTCCGATGTTCCCACCACTTCAATAGGGCGGGGGAACATCGGACCCGGGGAACATCGGTACTGCTCGCGTATTAAAAAGTCCCGATGTTCCCCGGGTCCGATGTTCCCCGCCAATAGAAGTGGGGAACATCGGGACTATCAACAACGAGACTAGGTCCGGTTGCTTGGGGGGGGGGTGGGGGGGGTTTTTTGGGGTTTTGGTGGGGTTCCCCGCGTGCGCAGCTTTGATGTTTGATGTTTCCTCCTCCACGAAAGATGGCATATGATCCGCGCCAACTTTTGTGAAGAAAAAATACTAACTTACCTAAGCCTATTTACTTTTCTTTTTCCCTCTCGCTCTTTGTGTGCTCATATTTCAGCTGATCGCAGACTTGAGTCTATGCAGGATATTTTGGCATGTTATGGGCATGTTATCTCCCTTGCTCTCCCATGGGCATCTATATTAATGACAAGTCTGACTGAATAAAATGAGGACAATTGAAACTAGAGCATTCTACTACATCTGTTAGCCTATATTTTTCCAAATACGTGGTTTTGCTGAGGGCACTGTGCTTTTACGCATAATGGACACGCATATGACGTCGTTTTTTGATTGTAAAACTTGAATATGCTCTTTTAGTTTTAGAGATATTAATACATATTATTCTATTCAGAATGCGTGCGGCATTGTTGTGGTCCCGCCTTAACGTTCACTCACACGTTAAAATGTAAATAACCAATTTCAACATAGCATTTTTACAACTTGAACTTTAAGAAAAAAATGATCAAAAGGAATCAGTGTAAAATAAGATCGGAAAAGCTCAATTCATGAATTGTTTAGATTAGGTTGCACCCATTTTTAAATACAATTGGAAACGCTCAGAAATGTCAAAAATATTGAAAAAGTGTATTGGCTCCTACAGTGGGGGGAATAATAATAATAATTATAATAATTATATAACCCCCTGAGCGTCATCACGTTCCTACGTTGCGTCAAATATAGTCCTAGTTTATTGGCTGAACAATTTTGTCCAATATCATATCACACAGCGTGAAGCGAGAACAACCAGCTATTCCTGCATCTTAAAGAATGACAACGCTCTCAAAGCATTCAAACAGAGCAGCCTTTTTAATTGTTAATTTTAAGAAAGTTCAGCGAGAACTTGTGAGGTATAGGAGCCAGAGTCCCGGGCCGTAGGTCCCAGAGGAGGAGAGGCGCGCTCGAGCCAGGCTCCCTCGCACTGATGAGTGTAAACTCTAGCCTGTTGAACACACTGTGGGCCCACGTAGGCCCACTGTGGGCCAACATGTGAGGCCTCATGTATGAAACCTCGTACGCCCAATCAGGGTTAATGAGCGTACGCAAAATATAACTTTTTCCGAATATTATCTGTCTGGACGTGAGCGTACAATACGCAAAAATAAACGCCAGGTCTGAGGTGGTGTAAACGCTGACTCAACCTTCGGCACAACAACGCATGAATACAAGATATGTAAACAACAATAAACATAGTCCCTACTGGCAAAATTAATGCTGTGTTTTCATTGATGATCATGTTTCAAAATTTGAATTGCGCATCAGAAAAAGTCTAATGGAAACACGCCGAAAGCTTCGGCGAGGAGGGGGGGCGATAGTGCACAGCTCATGGGAAGGGTGAGGACCCACGGTATTAAATCTACTTAGTGTGATGTATGAGTTTAGATCTGTATGTTATTTAAAATGTGAAGCGCTTTGTGAGCCTGGATCAGTCAAAGGCTCTATATAAAAACACTTTACGCAACAGTGAGTTGACCCATCTATTGCTGTGGCAGGCTCTGCTCTGCCTAATTACGCACGGCTATTGTAATCCTCACATCTGAAAGCAATGGTTTATTTCATTAGATTTGTGTAAGCCCTCACACAGACACACACCCAATAACGCATAGATGTGATTGCTCACTCAAACGTCTCACTGCCCTGTCCAAGTCTCGCCACATGTGCAGAAGTTTTGGCTCCAAGTTTCTTTGTGAAATCTGGACCGCAAACGCTCTCTATGAACTGTACACGCCTCAATGCGCACGTCTACCCCACCAGGCTGCTCCAAGACGCTGCATGAAATCCCGACTTTTCGCCACACCCTTCATTCATGGGAGAGCCACCGCTGGCATAATATATATGAATTAATTCATTCATGCAATCAATCTATATTTATTCACTTCGACAATTCAATAAAGGATTTTTCTAATGATCAAAACTTTTTGCAATTGCGTAAATCGGAATATACACCCAAAATGTACATCATTTTCAACGCAAGTTTCATAAATGACTTGTTGTATATGCTCGCGTTGAGTGCTGCGTGTGTGCGTTTGAACCATATTCCATGAAACCCCAATTCCATTTAGCCCTTGTTGTTGCAAGCGAATTTGGCCTACTTAACAAATCATTCAGGCTACCCAAAATAGACTAGTTATGTGCGAAAGCCGCTTCGTTGCTCCATTATCCCGCAGCGCAGCAATAACATGTCTATGAGCGAGGCCCCATCGGGGAACACCGCCCTCCGGCGTTGGAAGGTCCGATGTTCCCCGGGTCGCTTGGTTCCCCGCCCCGGGGAACTCCGGACCCGGGGAACTCCGGACCCGGGGAACACCACCCGGGACACCGGAAAAACCCGGGGAACACCGGACCCGGGGAACATCGGACCCGGGGAACATCGGGCCGACCCCCGCCGGAAGTGGCGGAAGTAGCGGGCGGACTTTGATGCTAACGGAGTTAAGCTAACGGCTTTTTGTGTAAAGTTCTTCTCCGATGCAGCTCTGCAGGGTCTTGTGTCCAGAGACCTTCCAGAGACTTTATATAACAGCAGTATGTGTTCAAGGAGGTGCACCATACGTTTATTTTATTATTAGACAGTACTTCCGCATTGACGAACACGCTCGAAACAGTTGCATAAAGTCACGGGAGCATGAAAACGCGTATGTTCACAAGCACAGAGTCCCCCATTGTCAACCCTGGTTAGGTCCTGGTTAGGGTTGGGCGATATTTTTTTTGTACCGGTATACCGGTATAAGTAAATTAAATGATAAGAATAAATGCCTTATACCGGTGAAAACCATCATTTAACAACTGAAAACAGCGACGGAAACACGTTTGTGTGGCGCACTTTGATGATTCATCTGCGTCGGCACGTGTAAGCAGAGCGGCCGTGCAGGGACAACAACAACAGAGCAGAGAGCAAACATGGCTGAGGCGGCGGTGGAAGACCATGGTGAAGACAATGCAGATGTAAAGACATTGTTGCAAAACGCGAGCTACCTCAAACATATGGGAAGTAGTTTAGGGAACTGAATAAAATGGAACAATTGTGTTTAACTATCGACAGTGGATTCTAATGTTGTGAAAGCAGCTGCCCTAAACAACTGGACTCGAAGTGGTCTCTCTCTCTCCTCTCTCTCTCTCTCACTCTCATCTCTCTCTCTCTCAGTCTTCTGCTCCACTCTCTCTCTCTCTCTCTCTCGTCATCCTCTATTCAGTCTCCTCTCGTAAACTCTCGCCCCTCTCCACTCCTCACTCCACTCTCTCTCAAGCATTCTCGCACCACACTCTCCTCTCTCTCTCTCACACTCTCTCGCTTCTCTCCTCCTCCCGCTCCTCACAATCCCTCTCAATCCTCCCTCCCCTCGCTTCTCTACTCATCTTCCCTCCAAGCCTCTCCTCTCCTTCTCCGCTCCACTCTCCGACAAAAGACCTCTCTCCCCCCTCTCGCTCTCCTCTCCCTCTCATATTCTCTCATCTCCGCGACTCTCACTCTCTCCTCTCCTCAGTCTCTCTACCTCAACGATCCTCTCCCTCGCTGGCTTCCACGCTCCTCTCCTTCACTCCATCCTCTCCACTCGTCCCGTCGCCTCTCCTCATCCTCCAGAGTCCCACCACTACCCTCACAACCATCTCGTCCCTCACTCCTCTCCACTCTCATCGTCTCTGACACTCTCAGTATCCTCTCTCTTCATCTCGCTCCCTCTGACCGACTCTCTCAAATTTCTCCCATCTTCATTTCTAGACTCTCCTCTCCCAGAACCCCTCTCACTCATCTCCGCCCTCCGCTCCTCTCCTCCAACTCTCTCTCTCCACTCTCTCAATTCATAATCACTTCATCGTCTCGTCCAGCCCACAAACCGTCTCACGTCCAGCATCTCTCGTGGTCCGTCCCAACTGACATCCACTTCTCCCCAACAATCAACCCCCTTTCCCTCAAGACTCATGCTCTCTCTTCTTACCTCTTCTCTACCTCCTCCCATCCTCATCTCTCGTCTCCCTCGTCTCTCATCACACCCCTCTCCCCTCTCCCTCCTCGTCCTCTCCGCACACAATCGGATCACACTAATCACACCCTCTCGATCCAGATCACTAAGGCTCTCTCTCTCCCACACCTCACAACCTCCACGTCTCGCACCAATTCACCTACTCAGTCCTCCTCTCATCAACCCCTCCTCGTCGACTCTCTCCCTCGCTCAATCATCCCTCCCTTCATCTCTCCTCATCTCCCTCAACCTCCATCTCTCTCATCTCTCCTTCAATCCTCTCCCCTCCTCGCTCTCCGTCTCTCTCTTCTCATCTCCCGCCCCAACTCTCGAGTCTCACCACTCTCCTCCTCCCCTCACCCCTTCTCTCATCTCTCACCTCCTTGCTCCTCTCTAGCTCTCCCCCTTCTCCTCTTTCTCTAGTCTCCACGCTCTTCCTCTCATCCTCCTCCACTCTCTGTCTCTCGCTCGGGTCCTCCACTCCCATCGAGGCTTCACCCCTCAGAAATCGTCCCCCCTCGTCCACACATCTCGACCATGTCAGCTCTCTCTACTTCGTCTCTCCACCATCTCTCTCCTACTGAACTCCCGGTCCACAATCAAAATCTCGCTCATCAACCAATCCATCCCTCTCGCAGTTATCTTCTTCCGACGTCCTCAATCCCAACCCACTTCTCCCCATACAATGACCCACCAGTCCTTTCCGCTATCTCTCTCCTCTCTCTCTCAATAATCCTCCTCCTCACTCGCCCCACCCCACGCACCCCTCACTCCCTCCTCTCTCCACCCCTTCCTTCCAGACCTCCACCTGCTCCGACATCCTCACCGCTTCAGTTCTCCACTTCTACCATCTTCTCAAGTCTCTCTCGCTCTCTCATACTCTCATACCATCTTCTCCTTCTCATACGTCATCTCCCTCATCCTCTCGTCCTCCACGCTCTCTTCTCCTCTCTCTCCCTCCCCTCTCTCTCATCCTCGTCTCTTAGTAGTGCCCATTGGTAAGCTTAATTTTACTGTTACTGTCATCATCATTTACTTCAATGCTATGTGTTTGTCTACATTGCAATATAATTTACAAATGAGTTATAATTACATAATTATAAAACGCAAAAGATACAAAAAATAATATACAGTATTTGATCATATTTGACTATATTGGATTAGGAAAACAAAAAAAAGTGACAAATAATTATTGATAATGCTAATGCTGTACACTTTTTATATTACAAAGACCAAACTTTTATATATTTTACAAATTACAAATGTTCACCTTTATTACATGTTGCCTGCAATTTTCAGTATGTACAAAACAGAATTCTCTACAATTCGGTTTTGTTAATACGTTTTATATACAATAGCTGTATTACACATTTTGCTGCCAATAAATCAGTAAATGCACTTTGAGGCAAGTGTGTTTAAAATTATCAGTGCTAAGTTTTTATAGCTTTTATATGAGGCTTTGTTGAAATTATCATATCGTCATATCGTGATACATACCAACAAAAATCGTGATACATGCTGAGGCCCATATCGCCCAACCCTAGTCCTGGTGTAGCTCCTGTTTTGGCTGTTTATTATTAGTATTTTCAGTCTGCTCGCTCAGACCACTAATGTCCCCGTGAACACTTTGCGGCTCTCTGATTGGTCGCTTCTCGAGCGTCCCGAGGAAACGTTCAGAAATATTTGTCTCCTGCGTGCGTTGATTTTCCACTCCTGCGCCTCTGCCGCGCAGTCCGTGCGTGCATCCCGAGACGCACATGCAGTTCCACGCTTAAACGCGCGTCACCTTTGACTTTGCATATAAAGTCGACGCAACGCATGATCCGGTCTGAACGCGGCATAAGATGAAGACAGTGTGTTGTGATGTTATGTGTTCACAACATTTTGCTTTAACAAGACTCGTTCTGTTGGGACAAATAACATTAATTGTCATAATTAGTTGTATTATTCATTTTTATGGCTTTTAATGGGACATTCAAAATTGACTTTTCATAGCTTTTGACCATGTCATAGCTAGTTTTCTCAAGAGAAAACCCACTGATTGCTAACTTCCTCAGGTTGCTCTTGCTCTACTTTGCTCTTGAGCACGACTGAATATGAAGTGACCATAGAAAATCATTTGTTTTGCCATATTTGTAAGTAACAAACTAGGAATTTGCATTGGTATATGGTGCAAAATTCTAAAGCATATACAACATCTAGGACATATGAGTCGCGTTTCCACCACAGGAACTTCAAGGTAATTTTACAGGGCCAGCCCATGGAGCTATTATAATAATTGGATAGGGTATTACTAGCTTGGAGCTGAAGGACCCATGTGCTCGCGGGATTCTCGCAGTACTGCAGACTAAACGAGAATACGTTCACGTGGGCTTTCACAAAGGTCGGATTATGTGGGGATTTTAGTGTCACTTGTCACCCTGAACTTTTTTTCTTCTTCAATCCTTTGGTTTTCTTTAAATCCACACTTCAGTGCCACAAACTCTGCTCTTTTGGCTCCCGCTCTACCTCCACTCAGCAATTCTGATAGGTCAAAGCGTGGCCGAGCCCCTCTGTGCACGTGCATGAGAGCCACACATGCGTATTTGGCGCAACCATAGACTGTATATATTAACGGACAGAGTCACGCCTATCTCCGCCGTTCTAACTAATGGGCCAAAAATTGTGCTCTACTGGAGCTATCCAAAATGGCTGCGATCATTTTTTTTAAAATAATTTATTTGTCTTGTCCTAGTCTAAGAATGTCACCAAACCCTTAATGCACAAAAGTAGGAGGAAGGCTGAATCCAGGGCCCTACAACAACCTGGCTTCTGTTAAATGTGTCCCTTGTTCTTTTATTGACTTGTGTAGTCCTCTTTCTCTTATATAGTTTCATGGATCCACAATCTGTCTGTATCATGCACAATACATATCTGAAAAAACAACCTGTACCATTGCTTTTCGAGCCCAGATGGAGATATAACATACCAGATAAAACTGGGATGCTGTCTGAGACACTGTTCTGTTCCTCAAAAAACTGACAAGCAGCGCTTCCTGAAGATCTTAACACCCACCACCTCCCCAGCGCCTCCTCCATGGCTCTAGCTCCCGCTCAAGGCTCCCGCTCAAGGCTCCCGCTCCGGCTCTGGCTCCTGCTCTAGGCTCCCGCTCTGGCCATTCACGCATGCTTCTAGCCACCACCAGTGCTTGACCCCGGAGATCTGAGATCATCTTCAGCAGCAATTGATCTCCTCACTGCAAGTGTCACTGCCGGGGTCAATGCGCCAAATAAATAAATCATTTTAATGTATTAATTAAAAACCATACCTACATTTACAGAAGCGACGTGTGTGTGTAGAGAGATAATTGTTATATTATTTGTATCAAAACATACATTGTCTTGTGTTGATAGAGACTGTCTTTTTTTTAAGGGTTTATTATTAATTTATTATTATGTAACGTCTTCCTATATTAGATCAGCCAATTTCCACCCAGGGCTACCACCCCTAAGTTGCTCCTCTGACTAAACATGTATATTTAATTTGTAAATATGTAGATTTGCTGTCCTTGTTTATTCCATTTCTGTGGATCCATTTATATTAAAAGTAGCACGTTGATAGTCTTCTCTCCGGCCTTGTTCTCCTCAGCTCTACGTTCTCCAAGCTGGTGCTGGTCCTGACCCTCATCACCACAGCAGTGTCGTTTGTAAAGCCGACAGTGAATGCATATGCCCTCAACTGCTTTGGCCTCCACTTCCTCTACCTGCTGGCCATCGAGATGAGATGGTATACTCATATACTCGTATACTATATACACAACATACAGTGCCTTGCGAAAGTATTCGGCCCCCTTGAACTTTTCAACATTTGCCACATTTCAGGCTTCAAACATAAAGATATAAAAATTATTTTTTTTGTCATGAATCAACAACAAGTGGGACACAATCGTGAAGTGGAACGAAATTTATTGGATAATTTACACTTTTTTAACAAATAAAAAACTGAAAAGTAGGGCGTGCAATATTATTCGGCCCCTTTACTTTCAGTGCAGCAAACTCAGTCCAGAAGTTCAGTGAGGATCTTTGAATGATCCAATGTTGTCCTAAATGACTGATGATGATAAATAGAATGCACCTGTGTGTAATCAAGTCTCCGTATAAATGCACCTGCTCTTTGATAGTCTCAGGGTTCTGTTTAAAGCACAGAGAGAAACTAGAAAAACAAAAACGCACACCAAGTTCTTCTCATGAGGTGCATGTGCTGGAGCAGAAATTAAATGTATTGGAAAATACACAGCACACTCGGATAGATGTCCAAAAGATCTAGTATTTATTACGTTTCGGCCTTAGCCTTCGTCAGATCATTTTTATCTTATTCATTTGGATCACAATATGAAATGTTATATTGTTTTTAATATTAAAGCGCAGAGAGAACCATGAGGACAAAGGAACACACCAGGCAGGTCCGAGATACTGTTGTGGAGAAGTTTAAAGCCGGATTTGGATACAAAAAGATTTCCCAAGCTTTAAACATCTCAAGGAGCACTGTGCAAGCAATTATATTGAAATGGAAGGAGTGTTAAACCAAAATCGAACTTTTTGGCCACAATGCAAAACGATATGTTTGGCGTAAAAGCAACACAGCTCATCACCCTGAACACACCATCCCCACTGTCAAACATGGTGGTGGCAGCATCATGGTTTGGGCCTGCTTTTCTTCAGCAGGGACAGGGAAGATGGCTAAAATTGATGGGAAGATTGATGGAGCCAAATACAGGACCATTCTGGAAGAAAACCTGAGACTGGGACGGAGATTTATCTTCCAACAATACAATGATCCAAAACATAAAGCCAAATCTACTTTTGGCCCCACTTTTCAGTTTTTTAGTTGTTAAAAAAGTTAAAATTATCCAATAAATGTAGTTCCACTTCACGATTGTGTCCCACTTGTTGATTCTTGACAAAAATTTTTTTTTTTATATCTTTATGTTTGAAGCCTGAAATGTGGCGAAATGTTGAAAGGTTCAAGGGGGCCGAATACTTTCGCAAGGCACTGTATCTTACTATAATGTGTGCAGTACTCTCACTTTTTCACCTGTTTTGTGTCAGACATGAGGATCAAAGCTGGGGTACCTAACTTATGAAACCACACACACAAAATCCAGGTCACTAGTATGGGCTCTCTGTCACATCTTTTCATCATATTTTTCCGACAAAAAATCACTCCCCTCAGCATTGATACACATGTGGAACGTAGCTTTGAGCCAAGAGACGACTTTTGGACCATCCTGTAAAAACATTTTCGAGAGGTCAGAAGATGCATACAGTAGCATTGAATAATTCTTATTCCGGTGTTCTGTCGCTCATCTCAACGGGCAGAGCTTCCTCAGGTGTTAATGATGTAATGCAAACCTGCGCTTGTGCGTCTAACGGCAGCCGAAGCAAACCAAGATGGCGGACATGAAGTCCTTGGATTGCTTTAAAAGTTAAAATACGAACGAATTAGGACACAAATGTCACTTTTAATGCAATTTTAGGTGAGATGTTGATGGTTCCGTGTTGTGATATGTGGGTTTTAAGAGTAAAAGTTTTGTGTTAAGCAGTCAACTGCTCCAGTGTGAAACCACACTGCTACTGTGTGATAGCAGTCCCCGAGTTGACTGCTGCATACGTCATTTTACTGACGTAGTCCAATGACACGTACTGTGACTGGTCTGTCGTGTTGATTATGGAAATAAATTAAATTGAATGGATGTATCATACTGTATTCAATATGATTAACAATAGTATGTTCCAACTAAATATTTAATTAGATCTTGTTTTTCCCCATTTTGTCGGATTTCTGCACATGCGCAAATCAGATTTGGGTTACAGTTGCAGTGTGGTTTCACAGGATCAGTGGACTGCTTAAAACAAACTTTACATGGAACCATCAACATCTCGCCTCAAATTGCATTACTGTAAGAGTAACATTTGTGTCTTAATTTGTTCGTATTTTAACATGTCCGCCATCTTGGATTGCTTCGGCTGCCGTGAGACGCGCAGCGCAGGTTTGCATTACATCATTAACAGCTGAGGGAGCTCATCTCGACGGGCAGACCAACTCGACAGAACACCGGGTCCACCGCCATCGGCCCGGGGTGGTATATTGCAAGCATGTCGGCGCACGTCAATGTGGCCGTTATTGAGCCGGGACCCACCCCCAATGGTTTGAGCCCACCACAAGACCTACTTCATGACTACCACTAATGTCTGCTGTCGTTGTGTCCTTGGGCAAGACACTTAAAGATGCTATACCCAATTTATTTTCTAATGAGTTCATAAAAATGCTTATTACTCCATACAAGTTGTATTATAATCCGTAATTTAATTGAGAACTTGAGCTCATTGATTCAGCTGTATATGAATTCAGGCCGTAAAAAGTGCTGAGAGACTTAGCGTGACGCCCGCTTTCCTCCACTCACAGAACGAGGCTGCGTCCTCTAGCCTCTACAGAGCTGCTAAACTGTTAGCAGATTTGGCTATATCTCTTCTTGCTGTAACCGCATACACAGCAAAAGAGACCAAACGACACAACAGAGAGGAAGAGAAAAGGGAACTAAAGCGAAAAAATGATCAAAGAAAAAATCAAGCTTGCGGGTGAACATAGCTAGCTTACATCGAATCCGCTGGAGAGACTTGTCTATGGGAGAGACCTGGGGGACTGCCTCGGACTATCTATGCTCGGACCACATTCGGACGCAAAAATAGCGGTAATCTTTCAGTTATATATTTTGTTAGCAGTGCGTTGCTTTTGTACCATTTCATCAGTAACATGTATTAAATGTAAAAGAAAAGTATCATAACATGGAACAAGACAAAGGATTTATGTTTCAAAATCCATTTTTTGGCAACTTTTTGAGAACCTTTTTACCCTTTCAAAGATATGTTATTGGTTTCAGATGTCTCCTATATTATCCAAATGGATGAGGGACTTTAAGAGGAAAGTTAACTGCTTCTTGAGAGACAGTTTTACACACTGTTTGGTCCTGTGATTTCAATGTTAAATGCGTGTGTTGCTGATGTTTATAAACGCTTATACAGGTGGTGAAACAAACACTGAAATTCAATAAATGTTCCTTTCTCTGTTAAAAATTTAATTTAACTCTCTCCCTCTCATAGATTTATTATTTAAAAAGGGTCCTTCTTTGCATATTTGTTCTTTACATTGTGAATTTCCACAGCAATAGTTGTTGTCTCTTCATTCTGTCCCAGCTGCACAGACCTGCGGGCGCTCCACCTGGCCAAGTTGTCCGTTGGGCTGTGGGTACTGGCCATCTCTTGCTGGATCACTGACCGCTTTGGATGCAGCTTCTGGCAACAGCTCAACTTCTGCTACCTTCATAGTCTGTGGTACGTGTGCACGTATACTGAGGTATACTGAAGAGTGGTCTGAGCATTCATGTGTACAGAGTCAAGAGTGGTCTGAGCCAGCATATGTACTGAGACAAGAGTAGCCTACATGTATACTGAGACAAAAGTGGTCTGAGTCTGCTTATACTGAGACAAGAGTAGTCTACATGTATAGTTAGACAAGAGCGGTCTAAGTCGACATGTATACTAAGACAAGATATTGTATTCCAGGCACATCTTGATTGTGATCGCGGTAGCCTACGGCAGCACCCTGATCGCGTATCTGGACGCTAACTACGAGATCCCGTACTCTCTTCCCGGTCTGCAGTTCTGGCCCTGTGATCAGTGGCCCCTGGGCTTACCGCATATCGTCCTCAAAGGCACAAGCAGGACGCGCAAGACATGCTGACCCCTTCCACATCAACAATTTCCATTTTCCAAAATACCGCAATTTACACCAAGCGCAAAACCTAACGTAGAGTATATTTACAAAGCATGACAATACAGAGTACCTTTTAAAACTGCGCTCAATTCAGGGGGATCATTAGTTTTGGTCGTCCGAATGTCAGACGTGGATTTGGTGTCCGTGATTACAAGTTCAGTAAGGGGCGACAATGGCTTAGTTGATAGAGCATTGGCATTTGGGCCTGAAGGTTGTAGGGTCGAGCCCACCACGAGACCTACTTCATGACTCCCACTGATGAATGCTGTTGTTGTGTACTTGGGCAAGACTCTTAACCCCACTTTGCCTGAAGCCCCGACTGGAAGATCAAGGCTCCTGTGGACTCATCACATGCAGGAGGATCAGTGAGGGGCTGGTGCAATGTGTACTGGGTGCAGCTCTGACTGCCACCCCCCACAACCCAGAAATGGATTAAGGGGAAGTAAATGGATGGTTGGCTGGTTACAAGTTCAACCACATTAGAATCGAGGTGCACCAGCACCTCCAAACAATTTGTCTTTTACTTATTAAATTGCTGTAAGTGGAAAGTTCGATTTTCCCTACTGCTTTGTAAACACACTTGTAAGCCTTGTTAATTTCATCTTGGTGTAAATTGTGGGTCACTTTTTATTCTTGCTAAAATGTCTGTGTAAACTCTGCTTTTATCAGAGGCAGAGAAGTGATAGAGAAGTGAGGAGGGATATGGCAAGACTGAATACAAAAGAGAGCTGACCTGTTGCTTTAATAGTCAGTATAGTGATTTCCAAAGTACAGATATGTAACAGAAGTATGGCATGTCTTCTTCAAAGGCTATAATATTGTCAATATGTTGAAATGTAACCGAGCCTGCACTGTTTTGTTTCTGAGCTGACATCAACTTGTGTATTTATTTTATTTATTATTTTAACAGTTGCTTAATGGATGTACATGTGTGCATTTCAACGTTGTTTTTAGGTGCGTTTGAGAATGTTTTCACCATTAATGATTTCAGTTATATTATATTATAAAATAAACTATCACAAAAATGACACATTATGTAACTGATTACAAATGTGATATGTTGGCTTACATTATGATCAGGTTATGCTTAGATTTGCAATATAAGCATAAGCATGTGATTATGTTTACTTTGGCTTTTGTTTGAGCTCTTGTGTTGGAAAACGCATGTATGGCTCTTAATTATTTACAAGAAATACATAATTGTAATTGTATGTGTATGTGTGTGTGTATATATATATATATATATATATATATATATATATATATATATATATATATATATATATATATATATATATATATATATATATATATATATATATATATATATATATATAATAAATAAATGAGGAACAGATGTGTCCACATGTTTGCGGGACTCTACTTACAACAGATATTCAATATTCTGTTTTGAGTATATGTTTGTTTTGTTATAAAGGACTGATTCATTGAAACCTCTGTAATGCGTCACTCTGTGTGATGAAGACACAACAGTCAGAACAATAGATTTTGTATACAGCAGTTATCTGTGCAGCGGCGCCCCCCGGCGCACACAGAAGGAGATTACAACACAATATTTGACAAAAACCTTTGACTCGTTATTTATAACATATAAAAACAGAAGATACATGAACATTTCTATAATATGTAACAGTAAGATAATTACGTCAATGTTGGACATTGAGTGCGGATACACCTTCTTATATTTCACAACATTCAGCCTGATATATGGTAATTCTTTGTGAAAACATATTTTAATCAAAATATAATACAATCACCCATGTCATTTGAGTTAGGCTAGTAAGGTTGGAGATGGTGGTCCTACTGTAGCCACAGCTGCCCTGGGGTACTCCACAGCCAAAGTGACCCCTGTGGACCCGTCACGGACCAGGCCGTACACTCCAAGATCTGACGAGACCAGGTCAAGTAATCTCTTACCCATTTTATTATATAATATGTGTTGCATTACTGTGTTACTTCAAAATAATATTATTACAGTAACTACGTTTGCCGAAGGCTCATATAAGAATTAGACGTAGATATAAGTATTACAAGTAGTAATGAGATTGAATTAATTCGAGATTACAACATGAATCTTATGGTATGACTAAATATGTACATCTATCGGTCCAAACATGTCTTGGGGCATGTTTAATATATAAGATCATATACAATGCTTTACTTACTTAAACATACAACATATAAGCATGCTACAAATGATTCTTTCTTATTTTGATATTCAAACAAATCTTTGAAGGCCCCCTACAGGGATTCTGAGGCCCCCGAAGTCTCCCGGACCTCACTTTGGGGAAAGATACTGGCTGTACAAACATGTATTCCAATACATCAAAGTCTGAATACGTATAACTCTAACAAATAAGACCCACACGTGAATATTGAATCTCTGTTGTAAGTAGAGTTCCGCAAACATGTGGACACATCTGTTCCTCTGTCACTTCCATTCAATCAGCCTCGTGTGCTTTTTCCAATTGAATCTCCGCGGAGTCCAGTGGGACCATGATTGGGACGCTGGCTGTCACTCGAGAACCCTCCTCTGAATACTTTGATTGTATTTGCGGCTCCGCGTGCTCCCGCCTTCTCTGCGTCACCATTGGTCAATGAGTGCGAGCCGTTCTGCTCCGCGCCGCGCCATAGGCCTGGAGAGCTTTCTGTTTTGATCGCGTCGAGGAGTGGGGAGGGCTCTGTCTGCCTTCCTGGTGTGGAGATTGGCACACAATGAGGAGCAGGACGCCGCTGTAAGGACCACAAGCAGAGCACGGGACCACGGGAGCACGGGACAACATGGAGAATCAGGTAGGCTCGTGTGCTCTTCTGCCATCGCCACTTTCCGCCATGCGTAAAAGCGACCGGAGCGACGAGTAAAGTTTGACCGAAGCTACACGAAGACTGCTACCTCTGTTGCTGCTAATGCACTGCTGGGCTCAGGGTCTATGCTAGCAGGCTGGGCACTCTTCATACATCGGCATTTACGTCTAGCCCCCTGATCTAAACCAGCGATCGGCGTAGTTTTAGCCGTATTGAGAGTAAAGGCTCCACATGGCGCATGAGGGAGGGTTTAAAACGTCTCCGCTAGTTCTGGATGGCATTGTTGTGCTGTTTTGTGAGCATGTTTGCATTGGGCCGACTGCTAAAGGCTAAGGAGTAGCCGCTACAAGGGAAGGGAAAACATTTGTCCTGTTTGGAGAGCAGGGAGGCGGGGTTGTGCCTTGTCTGAAGGGGCATATTGAGTCCACACGCACCGCTGTGGAGACCCAGACAGTAAAAACATATTATATCACACTGTCTACAGTTGGAATCATGTGATATTGTGGGCACACTGTGCAGCGTTGAACTTGAATCAGAAATGGTGACTCCCCTTATAGCAGTGATGGGAGCATTGCACAGGGCGTGAATGGGACGAATATGGATGAAGGGTTATGATGTAATTGTTTTTTAAAGGACTTATCTGTTATATATGCAGTTAATAACTGATGTACATGCAGCGGAATTGAGGTAAATGGTGTTCTAATAGAATTAGATTTATTGACTTCCTGGTGAAAACTTGATTCTGAGAAATGGCAAAAATAACTTTATTGAACTTTTATTCAGCATGCAGTATGTACTGGTAGATTTACTGGGATAAGTGGTAGGTGACGTTAGAACTGTGATTCTCATCAAAGTATGTGTGTGAAATGCTAATTTCAAAGTTGTTCTGTAAGGCGGAGCTACATGGTCGAAAAAATTATGTCACTCCTGCCAGTATAAGAAGGAATTATAACAATATAATTCACTATATCCTTAGTTCTGGGAAAAATATATAAACTATATAAAATAATATAATCAGCGTAACAAATAAACCTTGTTTCTCCAGTCTATCTCCAGTTTTCACATGCATGTGTTTTTGAACTCTTTAGATCAGCTACTTCCAGACCCAGTTGAAAAGGAGAGGACCACCTTTGCTCAGCCAATCATCTCTCGGTATATAAAAGATAAAATGTTTTCTAATAAGATAAATGCAGCTTGTCAGGGTCTGAATTGTTCAAATAACAGTTTGGTAGTTGGTCTTAGTGTATAAAGAATGTGGTGGGGGATTTTACCTTAAAGCCACCCTGTGTAATTTTTACAGCTGCTGTAAAATGCCAAAACATGTTGACTAATAACAAATGTGACCTTTTTAAGAATATTTACCTCCACCATGTTTTTTGAATTGTTTTCATAGGCTTAGAATTCAATTTAGAAATGTCCGTGAAAGCAGAGTCCTCTGCATGTCAATGCACCATCTTGAAAAACAGTGGCGACAGTAGCTCAGTTGGTAGAGCATTGGCCTTTGAGCCTGAAGGTCGTGGGTTTGAGCCCACCTCAAGACCTACTTCACGACTCCCACTGATTACTGCTGTCGTTGTGTCCTTGGGCAAGACACTTAACCCCACTTTGCCTGAAGCCCCCACTGAAAGAAGCTCCTGTGGACTCAGCACCTGCAGGAGGATCAGTGAGGGGTTGGTGCTCTGTGACTGGGTGCAGCTCTGACTGCCACCCCACTGACCCAGAAATGGATTAAGGGGAAGAAAATGGATGGATGGATGGAAAAACAGTGGTGGATAAGGGACAAAAAGGATGCGAGAATTGTGTTTTCGTGTCACATGAACTACTGATATCGTTGCTTTCACCGTGCCTTCACAAGTTTGAAGAAGGAACCATGGAGGACCACAGTTATGTAAAAGAACAACCCAAACAACAATCTTTTTGAAAATAATTATGCAAAAGTCCTGCGTCATAGCAGCAAAGTGTCAACATCGCAAACCACACGCACCAAAAGGTAAAGTTAAAACAGGAGGCACATTGTGTAGTTCGTACACAACAGACTCGCACGTGAACAATACGTAACTTTTTTTACGCTGACAACAATGAGAACGATCTGAGACGATCAGTCTCAGAGTGTTCTGACCCACTCCAATTAAACTTATTCAGGAACAAGCCTCAAAACACACAGAATCCCTACAAAACAATCGCCAGAATACTTTATCAGTGAATGAGAGTGAAAGTTCTTTTTTCTTACCTTATACGTCCGTATGAAGATTGAGTTTGGATGAAACAAGGAAGAGAATGTGTTTCGGGTCTCTGATTGTGACCAATCACAGCGGACCACTAGCCCCCAATTTCGTGAGGAATCTACTGGTCCGTTAGCATAGACGGCTGAGTAAGCACAACAAGCCAAGGAGCTAACCTGAAGCTTCCTCGTCTTCGTCACCAGTTACTGCTTACACACGAAACAGCCATCCAAAAGAAAGTCCCGTTCCTCCGCGCTTCCCGGTTCTATCGTTCTATGGTCACGCCATCCACGTGCAAATCCATATCCATGTATTATCCATATTGGGAGACGCTAGCTCCGTCCCAACAGTGAGTGTGTGTGGGGGGCGATAGCTTCGTGGGTGCGGGGAGGGGAGCAGAAAGAGCGAGGCCAGCTTCAAAATCCCAAAGTCAGTTAGTGCAGCTTTAAGAGCTGTCTTTAGCTCTTTGATCATGGCTCACGAATATCGCTTTTTGAATCGTCCCTGACTGCAACTTATGAACGACTAAAATAGTGAACAATCTCAGTAATCAATTGTTTACTAAACCCAAATAAAACGTATGAGAAGTTTTATGTCTCTGAAAAATCGATGACTGTAAAATTAAATATTTAAATATTTTTATTCAAACCCAATGTGTAACGAGTCGTCTCTGAAAATGTTCTCAGGAGAAACAACTTGGCCCCAGTGATGAAAACCCATATTCTCTGAGCTTTATGATATAAACAAATATTTTTTGATGAACTATGGTACGGTATGAAACTAGGCGTAAATCATTTACTACTTCCTTCCAATCACAGTCATCATCATTCACACCTCTAGACCCCTCAGGTAGCAATTTTATTATAATAAAATAAAATGTGAACATTGGTCAAGAAACATCTCAAGTGACCTTTTGACTTTTTAAAATGTGCAAAATCTCTAATCATTACTAAGTTTTAAATAATAATAATAATAATACATTTTATTTAAAAGCGCCTTTCAAAACACCCAAGGACACTGTACAGGCATAATAAAAACAATAAAAACAGGAGCAACAGAATAAAACACTAGTGTAATATGGGATGGTGGGTGCGTGTGTGTTAGGTGGGGTAGGACGGTCTGAACAGATGGGTTTTAAGTCTGGATTTGAAAAGTGGAAGAGTCAATGGTACCGAGGTCAGGGGAGAGAGTTCCAGAGCTGGGGGGACAGCTGGCAGGGTGGAGGAGGTCAGATGGGTACGGAAGGGCCAGGTTGTGAAGTGCTTTGAAAGTGGTGAGGAGTATTTTGAAGTTGATGCGTTGTTTGACAGGAAGCCAGTGGAGTTGTTGTAGTACGTGGGTGATGTGGTGAGCTGTAGGGGTCCGAGTGATGATGCAAGCTGCAGAGATTTGGAGGAGCTGCAGTTTCTGGAGGGATTTGTTTGGGAGGCCGAAGAGAAGTGACGAGGCTGTGGACGAGGATGGCGGTGGTGTGGGGGGTGAGAGAGGGGCGGAGACGAGAGATATTGAGCAGGTGGAAGTAGGCAGACCGAGTGATGTTATTGATGTGAGATTGGAAGGAGAGTGAAATGTCGAGGATGACACCCAGACTCTTGACCTGACAGGAGGGGAGGACAGATGTGTTATGGATGGAGATAGAGAAGCTGTTAGATTTGGAGAGAGTGGAGGGGGTGCCTATGAGAAGGACTTCAGTTTTAGAGCTGTTGGGTTTGAGGAAGTTGGAAGAGAACCAGGAATGAATTTCTTGTAGTCAGAGGGTGAGGGAGGATGGAGGGAGAGAGGAAGATGGTTTAGTGGAGAGGTATAGCTGGATGTCATCCACGTAACTGTTTCGGTGCTATGGAGGGGACGGAAGCCAGACTGAAAATGTTCGTAGATGTTATTAGTGGTGAGGTGGTTGTGGAGTTGAGCAGTGACAGATTTTCCAAGTAATTTGGAGATGAAGGGAAGGTTTGAGATGGGACGGAGGTTGTTGAAGTTGGTGGGATCCAGGCCAGGTTTTTGGAGAATGGGTGAGACTGAGGCTGTTTTGAGTGGGAGAGGGACAGTGCCAGAAGTGAGAGATGAATGAATGATATTAGAAAAGAGGGGGGCAACTGAGGGGAGGCATAATTTGACAAGAACTGTAGGGAGAGGGCCGAGCTGAGAGGTAGAGGGTTTGGATTTAAGGAAAAAATCGGAGATGGCTTGGACAGAGGGCAGGATGAAGCTGGAGAATGTAGCTATGAGGGATGAGTGGGGGGCTGGGGAATCCACTCCAGAGACTGCAGCTCCATGTGGGGTCAGGTGTTGGTGAATGTCAGATCTTGGAGGTAAAGAAGGATATAAGTGAATTACAGAAGTCAGTGGATTGCATATGGTGGGGGAGAGAGTCAGGGGGTTTGGTAATGTTGGTGAGGAGAGAGAAAAGAGTTTTGGAGTAGTAGGTGGATTTGGCAGAAGAGATGATATGGTTATAGTACATTTGTTTGTGAATGGTGAGTCCAGTTTTATAGAAGAGGCGTTCAAGGTGACGTCCTTGGGATTTGAGCTGACGGAGGGCAGGGGTGAACCAGGTTGCAGAGAGCGTGAAGGAGACGGGTCGGGTTTTGAGAGGAGCGTGTTCAGGAGGTTATGGAGATAAGTGTTGTAGTGGTCACTCTAATGTGACCTTTAGAGTGGGTGGGGAAATGTACAGTGCCTTGCGAAAGTATTCGGCCCCCTTGAACCTTTCAACATTTAGGCACATTTCAGGCTTCAAACATAAAGATATAGAAATTATTTTTT